TGAGTGCTGATTTTAATGATATGGTACTGAAATCAAGCCAGAGTTTTCTTTTGCTTATTTCACTTAAAAAAAAAAAAAAAAGAAGAAAGAAAGAAAGAAAGAAAGAAAAAAAAATCAGTTGATTAAAATGGACTGTGTACCTACCCTGGGCTGGGCACTTTTATCAGTATTGACTCGTTTACTCCACTGAGGTAGATATTCTTACTCCCATTTGACTAGCCGTGACCTTGAGGCTCACAGTGGTTAAATGCTTGCCCATATGTCTCCTTTTCAGAAAGCACTAGAAATGGGATTGAAACTCGGGTTTCTCTAACTCTAAAGTTAAAAGTCATCCATTAAATGACTTTGGAAAAATAATTTTATAACATAATGAATTATTCCTCCATCTAAGAAATGGCATTCAGGAGCACAGTAATTCTCCAGGACCGAAGTGTTTGCACCAGCGACTCCGGGTGACATTTCTGTTCGATTTTTGTTGGCTCGTACAAATTGACGCGTGGTGAAGTACATACGTGTCTCTTCCATGCAAAAAGCGACGCTATTCCCAGGGGTCAGACTGACCCATGAATATTCATCCTGATCTTTCAGAGAGGAAATAAGTTCTAGTTTTCTGGAAAGTGCATGCCTATCGTGACAGGTCCTGGGATCAAAGCTACCCAGGGTGCAGGGGCGTCACCTGGCCCAACGCTGACACAAGGTCTGAAGTCGGCATTACCCACAGCGTGGTCCAAAATGGAACTACGTAGAAAGGAGGGACTCTTCCGCGGAGTGGGTCATTTTTGAGATATGAAATCTTGAGAGCTTACAAGAGGCGGCTGTTTTCACCCAGGGGCTCTATGCCCGCTCCAAATAGCTTATGTGCTGGAGGAGGTGACTCGAGGGGCCTGTGTTTTAACTCTGGGATCTCTGGAAGTTTGAGACTCTCCCCCTCTCCTAGGTACAGTTTCCTAAACTCGGAATCGGGCCCTTCTGCTTTTCAGGCTGTCCCGCCTTCCCACACAACACGACTCCCCGGCGTTGCCAGCTCTGGGGACTCCATACGTGCCTGGCGCCTGGCGCCCTCTCCCAGCAAATGCCTTCTCCAGGCTTCAGTTTAGATGCTGCTTCCTCCGGGAAGCCTCCCACGACCCCTGCCCCACCTCGATCCCCGGCACGAACCTCATCATGGCACCAGAGCGGGATAAATTGCATCTGTGTACACGCCCGGCCGAAGGGCAGGCAGGGGTTGTGACTTGTTCATCTCCTATCCCCAGAGCCCAGCAGAACCTGGCACACAGTAGGCACTCAAAGTACGTGTGCAGAGTAGGACCGAATGATCAAATCATGAGCGCTAAGTGTTTCTGTTCATTGTGGAAGGACATGAAAATAAGCGATAGTCTGGCTGACGGAGTGGCACTCGGCCAGACCTGGGAAAACTCTGGCTTGTGTTTAGGCGGTGACACGGTGTGCAGCGGGCCCCGCTCACGCAGACCGGACACCTCGCTTGGCTAGACTTACGGGGGAGGGCTGCACGTACCGGCAGAAGAGGTTCAGGAAGGGGAGACAGAGAAAGTAAACACAGAGATTAGTAAGCAGGAGGCTACCAGACATACCGCACGTGTTAGCCTTCAGACACTAGCATAGGGAAACATGGACTCTGTCTTTAATACCTTACTATTTTCCAGAAGAACCTTAAACAAAAGGGGACCCATAACACTTCTAAAGCATTATGTAGTAGGACAAAATACTTTTCACCCAAAGTCTTAATAGATCGAAAGATCCCTAATTAAGGGGAAAAAAAGCAAATACCTCTGATACAATATTTTAAAACCACTTTTGGTCAATACAAAAAAATAACTGAGATGATGATTTTTTTTCAAAAAAGAGAAGACAATCTTACATAGCTTCAGAGATTTCCCTTCCTTAGTAAACAACCCCGATTCATCCCCATTCCTCCACAAAGGACTGTTTATACTGCATTCTTCCTCTGTACATTCAGCCCGGGTAACGTAACCTAAATACGTGATTCGATCATTTTGGACCCACAGAACTCACTCAGCATCAGTTCTGTCTCCAAAATTGTAAGCGTCCTTAAGAGCCTAAAATACTGTTACGTCAGCATCAGAGGGCAAATGACAAAATAAAACTGTACACATAGCATTCCTTAAAAAAATAATTTTAAGTTTCTTTTTAGAAAATGTAATAATCTACAGTTCCTACCGCCGCCTCCCCCCGCCCCCCACACCCAGTGGAAACAATCAGAGCATGACTTTCCAAACTGTGGCTGCTGCTAGCTCTGAAAGCCTGCGATGAGGGTCGGCCACCACAGTGAGGCCACCACAGTGAGGCCCACAGTGAGGCCACCACAGTGAGGCCACCACAGTCCGGCCCTCGGCCTCACAGCTTCTGGCCAGCAGGGTGACATTAATCTGTGTTCAACAGGAAGATTATTACTTTTTAAAATTTACATCACTGTATGAAGGCGGCACAATTGAAAAGCTCTCATATTTGTTTAGTTTTCTAGGTTTTGGTGAGAGAATTTTTAAGAAGAAAATGTATTCTTAGTCATACATTTCTTTGCTCTAACCATGCTAATTCTTAACAAAGAGAAATACAAGATCATTTCAAACTGTGAATCTTACCTAATACTATGTTCGTGGTTTGGTTTTGCACCATCTCAGGTATGTCATCAAAGGCTTGATAGCCCTAAAAAATAGTTCAAAATAAACGGATGTATATAGTAAGTAGAAGAGCAGTTAACCAGCACTCATGTGTGTGGACAGGGGCCAGGGATGCTAATAAATATCTTAACAATGCACAGGACAGCCCCCACCACAAAGAATTCACCAAACTCGAGGTGTCCGTAGTGCTGAGGTTAAGAAACCCTGATCGGTACGATGTACCACGTGCACATATAAATTCATATCTACCTCCTATACATGAATTTCTAAAAACAGAATCTTATTTTCCAATGCAATTACAAAATAAACTGGGGGATCTAGTCTCACAGAAAACAATAATGTCCTAAAATGCAGCTTATAGAAAATACAAATTGTGGAGGCTGCAATGAAAACAAAGGTAGCCATGCCAGGCTAGACCACATGACAGGCAAGTGTCATCATTGCCAAATGACTCAACTACACATCCAGCCTTTCCTCTGGAACGGGTTTAATGTCTGTTTCTTCACTGCCAGCTGGTGTGTTCAGCCATCTAGGAGGGAACACGGTAGCAATTATAACCTGTTCTGAACTGAATGTCTGTGTCCCCCCAAAATGCACGTGTTGAAATCTCAACCCTCAAAGTGATGCTGTTAGAAGGCTGGGTCTTTGGGAGGCAGTTATGTCTTGAGAGCGAAGCCTCGTGAGCGGGATTAGGGCCCTGATGAAAGAGTTCCCAGGAAGCTCTCTCTGCCATGCAAGGTGTCAGCGAGGAAATGGCAGTCTGCAACCTGGAAGGGGTCCCTCGCCCGAACCTGACTGTGCTGGCTCTCTGATCTCGCTCAGACTCTTCGCCGCCAGAATTTTGAGAAATAAATTTCTGTTGTTCATAAGCCATCCAGCCTACAATAGTCTTTTCTAGCAGCCCAATCCGAGCTGCAAACTTCATAATGTTTATGGTGCCAGGCAGGTTCCACTTTAGCCTGGCAAGAGTGATGCTCTATAAAGAACGTCCTCAACTTCTGTTTTTTTTTTCCAAAGGTGACTAAGCCACCCAGGACACTGGAGCTCGTGTTGGTTTTCTGTACACCTGATCCCTCTACCTTTACCTGTGTTAGGACTTGTGGAGGTCACCCCTCAAAAAAGGTTTTATGGCTGGAAGGAGCCTCACAGATCTCTTAATTCAATTCCTTTATTTAACAAACCTGGTGACATCAGAGTCTAAAAAACTAAGAGCTTTTAATGACTTGTTCAAGGGGATATGTGCTTTGCCTCTGTGTAAATGAGTTTAATAGACATTTGATGATTTTTATATCCGTGCTAAAAGACACAGGATCCAGAATAAAAATATTCACTCCCTTCCTGAATCACAATCTACAAAGAAATATTTACTGTGCCCTCCATATCCTGGTTGAATAAATAGCAATAATTAGTAGGTTATCAGGAAGTCAGCGGAACAACCCAGACATTAAAGCAGTAGTTACAGTTATGAGGAACTTAACAACAACAAAAAAATACTTGCTATGTTGTAAATTGCAAAGCTTAAAGAGCTAGCACCTAGTAGCCTAAACCTAGGCAAGAGAGGAGAAAGATAAGTGGGCTGGGCACCCCACACAGCATGGGCCAATGCGGGCAAGTAGGAAGAAACAAAACCAACATGGCCGACTCCCAGGCAGAGAGGGAGAGCAGCTTACATCAGGATCAGTCTGGGGCCCGGCACCACGCCCATCAAGGTCCAAGCCCCAGGAAGACAAGATCATGCTTTTTTTTTTTTTAAATCTCTTTTGGTTCTAGCATGGTGCTTGGCACATAAAAGATGCTTAATAAAATATCTTGAATCGAAATGACGGACAAAGTTACTTGGAAGTTAACAGTTATTACCTTTCTTGGCATCCCCCTCTCCAGAATTTGCTTTTTTTTTTTTTTGGCTATTACCAATTTTCTTATGCACTAGTCTACTCTTGAAAATGATGTAAAAGCTACTGTATTTTTTTCCAAAAAAAAACATACCTTCTGGACCAGGCTAGACAAATCTGTTTGAAGAACATGATTAACATTATCAAGTTGATTATCCAACAAGGGAATCTGAAAATTTATAAAAACAAAAGATAAGGCAAGGTAGTTATCCCCAAAATAATTTGTCATAAAAATGAGAGTTATCTTATATCCAAGTTCCAAGGCCTGTATATTATAGGGTATGATCTAAATTTCTTTTGAACAATAGAGTATTGTTTGGGGAAAATACATTTAGTTTCAGAATGGCCTCTAAAAGCACTAATTTTTAGATGTTTGGCGGTCTCCTGCTACAGTTAGGTCAAAATGAGGGAAAGGAATTAGACACAGATGGATTATGTGTGACCTCACAATTTCCGGTACCGAATATTGTCGAATAAAGTTATAAACAACCTTTTTAAAAACACATTTAAAAGTAATATGGTCAGTGGTTATATCGGTGAGTGCTCTGAAATAAATTTTTCATTTTATATTGTACAATGGTTTAAAATGTTCCATGTCTTACCAATGCCGGGACAAATATCACGGCCTCCTGACACGCTGTACTGAGGACAACGTTTTTGTGATGTCCCTAACATATATGAACGACTCAAATCTAATCGTGAGGGGATATCAGACAAACGTAAATTGAAGGTTGTTCTATAAAATAAATGGCCTGTGGTCTTCAAAAATGTCCATGTCATAAGAAAAAGACAGACTGAGAAACTGTTTCAGATTCAAGACGCTAAAAAGACATGACAACTAAAGACCATGTATAATCCTGGACTCGATCTTAGACTGGAAAGAGAAAAAAAAAAAGTTATAAGGGAATTTTTAGAAAAATTGGCAAATGAATATAAACTGTGGTTTAGATGATAGTATTAGGTCAATGATATATGTTCTAATTTTGATAATCGTATAATGGTTACGTAAAGTTAGGAAATCTTTAGGAGTAAAGGATATAATGTCTGCAACTTACCTCCAAATGATTGAGAAAAGAGCAAAATGCGTATTATTTTATGCATATAGGTGATAATATAAATACATAGACGATAGATATACATAGATGGAAAAATGGACAAAATGATATGGTTTAAGCATATGGAGCAAGATGCTGATAATGGGTAGATTCGGGTGAAGAATATAGACAGGGATTCCTTGTATAATCTTGCAAATTTTCTGCATGTTTAAAAGTACATCAGAATCAAATGTTACTCCCAAAAGAACTTGATCTCAAACAATTTAAGAGCGTATGTGGTTAATCAACCGGGCACATCATTTCAGAATATATTTTAACTGTTAAAGGTCTGCAAACATGCATTCTGCTTCCTTTTTTCTTTTTTAAAGGTGAATTTATTCTGATATGTTTTGCCCAGTCAATCACAGAGAACTCTCGAGAAAGGGTTTCTCATTATTCCTTCTCTCCTGCTGTGATTGGGTAATCAGGAAGGCGGGCGGAGACCCAGGCCCCTGTGCCCCTGATCGGTGTACCCAGCTGTCCCAATGACACCACCCACCCCCACAGCAAGGTCCGCCTCCTCACCTTTCCCACGTCAGTGTTGTTATCCAGCTGGTTTAGAGTCATTGAGATCTCGTTGCAAGTGGTGGTTATTGGAGGTATAGAGCACAGGGGGTCACTGAGTGCCTGCTCCAGGTCCGTTTTAACGTCACTCAGGCTGGTGTCAAGTTGTGCAATTGATTTTTTCAGGTCCTTTAAGGCATTGTTCGTGTTCGACAGGGCTTCTCTGGTCTCTTTGATTACTGTAGGAACACAGTCCGCTTCAGAACCACGGCACCTGCTAGACTGCCAGAGGCAAAACCCCTTCTCATCTACGGAAGTACCCTAAATGAACTTGAGGTGAACTTCTAAAGGTCACGGGAAGTCAACCAGAGGAGCCTGCTGTGAGGGACAGTCTGAGAGGGAAATATAGGGACATTTGCTGGCCTCCACTGCCAGCTACTCCACTCCGACCAGCTCACCTTTTCTACTTGGGAGCCCTTTCAAACAAGAAGCTGGGGCAGGCACCAACCCGGGAACACGTGTGGACACCTGGGCATGGCAGGAACTGGTCGGCATTGGAGCAACAGCCTCGGGAAAATGTGTCACCACCCTAGACTTGCCCAGCTTTGAAGAGGTCGGTCCAAACAAGCTAGCATCTTCGAACCCAAGCAGTTTTAATCCACACTGAGAACTGATCACACCCAGACATACTTCTGCTATGGATACTCAAAGAGCTGGATTTAAACACAGAGCAATGGTGACGAGCAGAGTTTTGGATTCGGGCCAGTCTACGTGCAGACCCAAGTTTCCCTACGTGCTGTGCCGATGGCATTGCCACCGGAAGCTCATTCCTGAACGTTCTTCAGCAATTTCCTCATCTGAAAATGGCGAAACCACCACCACCACGTTGGTCATGAAATGTGGGCATCGTAACTCCTCAGTGACAGTGAGCCCATCCGTTTTATTCTGGGAGCCCCACAGCCTAGAACGCATTCTTATATTAGAAAATCCCTAATAATTGTTCGCTATCCCGATTTCTTGGGAGTGCAGAGCTCTGTATTCATGATGAAGGAGGTAGCAGGTTACAACTCTTTTCTATGGTGACTTAAAGCCACAGTAGAAAGCAACGTAAAATTGAAACTAGAGGGCATTTGCTTTTTTTGTTAAGCAAATAAGTCTTCTAGGCTCCCAAAACAGATGGGAGAACCGCATTTGGGTGTTGCCAGGAAAAGTGTGAATGCATTTAAAAACTGGTTTCCTCACCTTTCCTGGGCAACCACATACAACTGCAGTGCTACAACAACAAACAACAACAACAACAACATCCCTCCCTCCTACACACACACGCTTTAATGCTTCTGTATTGTGAAATCTTGTCAAAAGCCGTTTGCTGTCTCATCTCACTTTGGCTACTGCTTTGAAACAGCGCCCTTGGCAAACTCCTTCACCTCTGGGGACCTCGGTTTCTTCCTCTGTAAATTGGGAAGCTGGTTGGGTCATCTCCTGGTTACCAGGAGGGTCTGTAATTCTAGACCGTGTCCCGACAGGTTTGCTCTTAGGAGATGGCATTGCCGATGTCATCCAAGATGGCACCTCAGCACCCAGCTTTGATGACACCTGGGGAGGCTTCCAGGATTGGACGGTATGACTGTTGGTCCCCAATTCTATCACCTTTTCTGAACAGAAAACTTTAAAGTCTGCTTCAAACGATCTTTTGAAGATCCTGAATTTTGGTCCGGTTATACCTTAACAATCTTTGAGATTATAATAATATTTAAGACTTTACTCAAGAGTCCCTCTGGGCCTCAGTTTCTCACTCTTCCACCTGGGTACCGGAATTATCAACCAAGAATGGAGCTGGTGCTCCATTCATCCTGGAGCCTCAATAAATATCTACCATGGCAAAACCAGAAACAAAGAACAGAGCTGCAACCAGAAACACACGAGAGAACGCAAAGGAACATATGCCGAAAGGCACTTTGCGTCTCGCAACACACACCTCACACCTTCGTGCTGCGTGGATTTCCTCTCGCGGTCCACTTTGACTTCAAGATAAGTTATTTTAAGGCAACAGACGAACAACGACGACAAAAGAATGATGGGTGATGAAATAAACTGATGGCCTAGAAAACTGTATGTGCAATTAGGCACTGTCTAGAGACATTGCAGGTTATGGGTGCCAATCTGTCAGGTCGCGAAGACCGGGAGGTGGTAAACGCATTTTCCCAAAGGCTTCAAAGTGTTTTATGTCTATGAAATATGTACCGAGCTATAACTCTGGGGGTCATTCCAGGCCTGCCAAGAGCATATATATTATGTATCTGAAGTCAGTGGAAAGACATTTAAGATTCTCAGTTTTAGTTAATTAACATTTTACCAGCTCATAACACATTTCCTTTATAGGTCCTGGCCTGCAGCTCAACCATGATTTGCACAAACAAATTTACATGTTTTTGTTATCTCCAAAGGCCACTAAACACATAAGAATTTAAATGCAAAGAAAAAAAAAAAAAAAAAAAAAAAAAAATTCACCAAAGCAGTTTAGTAAGTACATTTTAAGAAGCCCTGACAACACCAGAGGCTAAACTTTAACTTATTCAGGCTGACTTAAAAAAATAAATAAATAAATAAAGAACTTTAACACTAGTATGTGAAGGATTAAAGAGAAAAACAAAATGGGTTTTAATTGCCTTTAATCCAAAGACAATTTTAATTCCAACATTAAAACTTGGGCAAACCACGGGGCAAAAAGCACAGGTCCATGCCGACCGCGCTGCATCATTCATTTACTTTTTCACAGCCTTTTCCTTTACACAGTATCGGAGCTGGAAGAGAGTGCGGTGGACCAGTATTCCCAACGCACTGGCCGGTGAGGGGCCAGCACTTGGACCCCGCGATCCTCACTCTCCCTCCAGAGTTAACTGTGCCGTCTTGCTGTGGCATGGACGCACCCTGCATCGTCACACTCTCGAATATACCCCAATATCCTCTAGGACGGTCCGGGCAGTACAGGCCTGATAGTCAGACCGGGATCTGAACCTCAGCTCCGCCACTTCCCAGCAGCCTGAGCTTGGACAAATTGCACGATCTCTGAGCCCTACTGTCTCGAGCTGGTAAAATGCAGGTGACCACACCCACCCCACAGAGCTGCCGTGAGCAATGGCCAATGTGAGCAGGAGAAGCCCCCGGTTCATTGCACAGACATTTTCTCAACATTTGGAAGGGCCTGGGAGATCTTTCTTTCATGGAAGTTATATATGAAGTTTATTAAGATCAGTATATCTTATGGTGGCTTCAAATATAGTATGTGTATTTCTACTTTCCAGAAGCTGTTCTTTCAGGGGAAGAGGAAAGCATAATCAATAGATCCCAAAGCCTAAAATTCTATAGGTTACTCTTCTTCTATAGTAGAAGTCAACAAGCTTTTTCTGTAAAGGGCCAGACGTTAAACATTTTAGGCCACAGGGCCCCGGCTGTAACCAACTGTATCGTCAAAGCCCGGAAGCAGCCATATATGACATCTCAACAGATGAGTATGTCTGTATTCCAATAACCTGTGTGTACAAACACAGGTAGTGGGCCCCTGCCAAACCCTGCCACTATGACCATTGGTATGACAGCTCTGACACAAGCTTTTTTAAAAAAATAAAGCTATTGGGACACAGTGTGCTTTTACCTGGCCTGTTTGCATGACCACGGATTGTGGCTCTCACCCCAGCCAACGCTCTGGAAAACCAAGAAAAGGGAGAGTGGACCCAGGTAGCCGGAGACTTCTGGGCGGAACATTCTCTCGGTCATTCCTGTCTGTCACAGCACTTACCTTCAACCATGGCCTTGATGTTATCAAGAACAGGGATCACTTTAGGTCTTAGCTGATCGCGAATTCTGCCTCCCAGCAATGATTTAACATCTAAATTCAAAGAAGCATAAGGAAGCGTGAGGGTCGTTCCATGTATTTCTTTGCCTCTTACCACTCATGCCCTTCCCCGTTCGGGACGCCGCCGCCTGGAAAAGTTATCTTTCGTCTCTCCTGCCACGAAATCCCATTTTTATTCTAGACCCCGTGGAGGCATGGGCTCTCGTGTGGAGATTTCTTCCTGCTCGTCAAAGTCCCCACACCGGCTGTGCCCCAGTGAAAAATCAATCACCAAGGGACTCGGTATTTAATTGTACTGTACGGTGTCATTCACCTTGGGCCATGACCGCTGTGGCCCCGATCGCTTCAGCTCGACCCGGGTCTCCCAAACCAGGGGCGACTGATGTTTGGGGCTGGGTAATTCTTTGTTGTGGGGCTGTTCTATGCAGTATACAAGTTTTAGCTGCGTCCCTGGTCTCCACCCACAGATGCAGCATCTCTGCCTTCCCATCTTCACCTGGCTGGGACAATCAAAAAGATCTCCGGATGCTGCCAAATGCTGCCTCGAGGGCGGAGCATCCCGGTGTGAGAATCACGAAGCTCAGCTGTGCGTGAGCTCCCTGCACGCAGGGCACGAGCATGCGGGGACGAGCACACGAGGACGAGCCCGCGGGGACGAGCACGCAGCCATGCCTCGAGGGCGGAGCATCCCGGTGTGAGAATCACGGAGCTCGGCTGTGCGTGAGCTCCCTGCACGCAGGGCATGAGCATGCGGGGACGAGCACACGAGGATGAGCACTGCCCAGAGGACGAGCCCGCGGGGACGAGCACGCAGCCATGAGCACGCGGGGGCGAGCGCACGGGGACGAGCACGCAGCAATGAGCACGCGGGGGCGAGCACGCGGGGGCGAGCGCACGGGGACGAGCACGCAGCCATGAGCACGCAAGGACGAGCACACGAGGATGAGCACTGCCCGCCCTCCATTTCTTTTCTTTTTATCATCAGCATTCTAATTTAAAATCCACAAAGATTTTAACTGCATATAATATTCCTTGAGCCCTCACACCAACCTCAGGATGTCTTCCCCGCCCCAGTGACAGCCGACATTCAAGCCCGCCCCGCTATTTCCGAAGCCCACTGGTCTCTCGTGGCCTGTTTCTGTCTTAACAGTGAACCTGACAGAGACTGATTTCCTCCCCCACGTGGGGCACGAAGAACAAACGCTTGTGACTGCAAGGAGGCAAAAGCATTCTCACGCTAAACGCTACGTTTTAATTGTCGAGTAACGAACTATAAATCGTCAATAACTCTAGGGAACTACGTTTCTGTTTTTCCCCTACAATTCACATGGAATTGCAGAAACAGCACACTTCGTTTCTTAGTCCCCATTTTATGGGAGGCGGCTGTAGCATCTTCCCGCCAAAACATACAAAAAATTTGAAGCAGCTTTAAATTTTACTCACTGTCCAGATCTGAAAATGCCTTTTCCTTAGTGGTGTTATACTGGTCCAGTACATAGTCGATTTGCTGGGGGGAAAAAAAAAATTATCTCAAATTAGAACATTTTTAAAAGAAAGCAGGTTCTTAGAGATGTTTATATTTGCTGACACCCAGACTTCTCAATAATACTCCAAAGCTTGTTGGCTTAAGAGACATGATGCATTACTTCTCAGGCTTCTGTGAAGTGGCCACGTGGATTGGTTGGGGCTAGCTTGGCTGGGGACAAATGGACCCCTGTCTCCACATGGCCTCTCATCTTCCAAGCGGCCAGCCTGGGTGTTTTCACGTGGGGTGCTGGCAGCAGGAGACAAGAGTGGACGCTGTAAGGTCTCTGGATGCCTAAGCTCAAAACTAGTGCAAGGTCATGTCTGCTGCAGTCTTTCGGTCAAAGCGAGGCGCAGGGCCAGCGCAGATTTAAGGGGCCGGAAACAGATCCGCTTCGTGAAAGGCAGAACTACAAAGACTCTGTCTGAGGCCATTTGGAACCTGCCACACTAGGACCATTTACTCAGTGGCTGTCACTGAGCTGGCCGTCCCAGAGGCTGCCTGCTCTTCCGTCTGCTGTGTCTTGGCAGCTTTCCCGTGCCCGTCACAACACTGGTGCTATCATTTTTCAATAACTATTGCCAAGCGTCTCCGTGAAAACGTGTCGTTATTTAATTTTTTCATTTCTCCAATTACTAGAGTAAGGTTAAATATATTGCTATGTTTGGAGCCAGTTACATTTCCTCTGTAAAATGACTATGCGCATCCTCTGCCTAGTTGTTTACTGATTTGTTAAGAGCTCTTCATATATTTTCAAGTAGATAAGTTTCCCCTCAAGTCATCACAATCTACTATCTTCCTGAGTTTATGAGAACAATCCCAAAGTTCACCAGCCACGATTGCTATGAATTTAATTTTGCCAACATTTTTTTTTGGGGGGGGGAAGGGTTTCCCTTTGGTGTCTTCAGAATGATAGATAAAACTGTTATCAATTTTTATTCACAGATTGGGAAAATGAAACATTTCCCTCTCTCTGTGGCTATAAAACTATGGATAAAATTAGCTTTTCTAATCTCAATATTAAAAAATGCCTGCATTCTTTGCTCTTTTAGTTCTAACCACATTTTTAAAAAGTAGTCCAGTATTTAACGTGTCAGCGTTTTTCAGACCGTGATAAACTTGGAAGAATACGTTGTGCGAGGAGGCCCGTGGGTCCCGGTGGGCTCGTATCCGTGGAGGCTGCCCTTCCCTCCACGGTGGTGCCCATGAGCTCACAACATGTGTTTGGGCTGGTTTCCACTCATACATCTTGAAAAACGATATTCTGAATAGGCAAGATATCAACTTGCTTCTGGGACATAGTAAAAAGTGCCTTCAGGCCATCCAGTTCTCCTGTCTCAAAGACACTGTGTGTGTGTGTGTGTGCGCGCGCGCGCGCGCACGCATCTGTGCACATGCATGTGTGCGTCCCCTTTCCAGTCTCTACAGTTATTAGCACATGGATGTTTATAAAGTAGAAAGACTTCGTTACAAAGGTAACTTCATGCAAACAACGGGGAGTGAACTACATTGCCAAAAAGAAAGGATAATGGCACCCAGAGATTTTTCCTTTTGAAAAACTCATGAGACCATTAAAATGGTTAAGTGCTTTTATAATATGTACGATAGTTTTATGTTACACCTCAATAAAATAGAATAACAGCAATTTTGTGCTCTTTTGGAAATCGCTTGCTGGGCCTTTATTCCTTCTTCTATGAAATTAAAAGATAGCACCCATCTACATTGATGCACTGGGTTTCTAGAAGGTCCTGAGGAAATATACAGGAACTCTGAAAGGCCCCAAACACAAAGCATCACGGGATACACGGGTCGTGGTTTTTACCATTGGAGTTTCGTCCAGGAGAGTTCTCAAGTCTCTGAAGTTGCTGTCTACCAGTTTTTGAGTCTTTTCGATATGGGTCCTCAGGTAGTGGTTTGCCAGAAAACCATAGATGATACCAACGCTGCAGGAAAAGCAAAGAAAGAAGAGCGTTTACCGTGTGACCTTGGGGGACTGGCTGGGTACAGGGCAGCACCACAGAAGGGTTGAAGCAGGGCTTCTGAGAAGAGATGGGGGGGGCGCGGGGGGGCAGGGCGGGGACAGGACTCTCTTCCTCACCCGCCCTCTCCACCGCTGCAGCCTTCAGAGACCCCATAATCCACCCACCACCAACCCAGGGGTCAGGGAACAGGACTCAGTCCTCTCAGAGAAGACACATATCCACTAAAGATACATTGTTCTGTTAAATACCGAATCTTATAAAGGGGTCAAAGTTCTTGATAAAGTGTGGAAGGAACAGTAACTAACGAAGGTCACCAGGTGCTATGTGCTGGACAGTGGATGCAGGCACATGCCGTCCCCCGCAGCGCACACACAAACACATCCCCTACGCGTACCCCCGCCGCCTCCCTCCCCAAAGAAAACGATCAGGGAAAACATCAAAACGGTAAGACTGGTTTGGGCTTTCTAACGTTTTTGGTTTCCCTAATGGCCTCTGTCAGTTTCTGTATGGTCTGGGTGGAAAAGAAACATGAGTTACTTTAACGTGGAAACGCTATGTGCAAAGCTGCAATCAACAGCGTGCACACTGTATCCTTCCATTTTATATAAAGCACAAAATCATGCAAAATGACGCTGATAAAAGTCAGTGGTTATATTTGGGGAAGGAGTAGCTAATGATGTAATCGGTGTGTTCACCTCATGGAAACTCATGCGTATGTATTTATGACAAGGACATTTTTCTCCATGGAAAACACATTTCAATGAAGAGTTTCAAAAACACTATATGAAAGTCATCTTGCATGAAAGTCTCCTCTATGTGAAAGCAAAAAACATATTTTTCAAGCCCAAAAAAGTCTACATTTAATCATTCTCAGGGTTTTTTTTAAGGTTGACTAGTTACTAAGAATCTCCTGTCTTAAATTAATTCGACCGATTGATTTTCTGTGTGTGTCAAAGCCTTCAAACATTAAAATGTTAAATTTAAAATTGCTAATTACCAAGGCTTTGTTGGATTTAGCCACTAGATGGCAGTAAGGAATCACATAAACTCCTAACAACACACTATTTTACCAATGAAGTCAATAACAAAATTGTTAGTTTGTAACCATTCATTCAATGAAAAGTGTGGATAGAACAAGGTTTTGATAGGACAACGTTTTTTTGCAAATAATAGGCAAACTTTGAGAAAAATAATTCTGATGCAGAATATCACTGCTTTGCACCAAAAGCAACATCTTAGGCTTTATGCATTCTTATATTTACAGGTAGGGTGGCCGAGTATCCATTTATGCACCAAAAGTCCCATTTTCCCAGGAAATGGCTCAGTCTTGGGTAGACGGGGACAATCGTTCATCCCATTTACAGTTATGACTCATTCTGAGGAGCACCAGTTCATCGCTGGTGTCTAAAAACATTTAGACCCACAGCGATATTACATCAGGTGCATTAGGGTTTTCAAATCAATCCAAAAAAGACCATAACACAAGGTGTTGAACGATATTCCTTATGTTTAACAAGTTCCAGTGGAACATGTGCTGGGGTAGAAACGTAAGATTTGGCCACTATGCCACGAACTCATACTGTGTAAACCAAGTCACTTTCCTTTTGAGAGCTTCAGCTAGTGTCACCAAACTGAAAATTAGGTTAGGTAGTGCTTCTCCAGCTACAAAAGAGAGGATTGCACAGCTTCTCTGACATTTTTTTTTTAAGTTTGAGTTCATGTTGACGGTAATCTTTAAAAAAAAAATGAATATTAACACTGTTCTGTGCCATTCTGAATGAACACCTTATGGTCTATTTTTTGTCAGTCTAAGTCTGCACTGGTATTTGCAAGACAGACCTTGTACCATAGCAATAGTAGTTATTAAGCGATGCACTCGACCAAATAAGGCCAAATGACCCAAAATAACGACTTTGGAGCAGTGTGAACAGAAGGAAAAAATGCTGAGTCATAACAATGCATCTGGAGCTTTATGTACCATGCCAAGTTTCAAACATTCATGACAAGTCAGGATCGCCACCCGAACACCCCCGCCCAAAAGATTTCTCACTGGGGGCCCTTCCTGTCTCTCTCCATCATGTCCAAATTACTTGTCATTTATCATGCTCCAGACCCATTTCGACATACAGAAAGTCAAAGTGAACTTGAGAAACAAACAGCAAGTGCAAGTTCACGTGGGCTTTGCTGACCCTGCCTCCAACCAGCCTCCCCCACTTTGGGAGAAAAACTTCCTTGCCTTGAACTCCCAGGGGGCTCTCCCTGAAATTCTGGTGGGCTATTACTCACTTTGTACTCTATTTTGTCTTTATTTTTACCTGTGCTTAATTTCTCGAAAAAGAGGTGGAAATTGTTCCTTTTTCAACTTTGCGTAATGCGGGATCTCTTATCCACGCTGGGCGCTCAGTGAAGGTGGTTTTAAGGACTGGGCTTTGTTTCATTTGGTCCATTTAGAAGATTAGTCATATGTTTGGCGTGTCCAAGTCAGAAACTGTCTTTGTTCCTTTATTGAATAAATGCCTTTACTCACAAGTTCATCAATCAGTAAAGTGAACTGGAACATGACACTGAATTTCGATGCAACATATTTAAAAAGACCCACATTTCTGCTAATCGATTATGGATCCAATTAAAATGAAAGCATTGATCATTGAAAAAAAAAAACTGTTCTAAACAGAATTCTGGAATGCAATTCAGCAACTGTCAAAGCTGATTTTCAAAACCATAACAAATTTTAAATTTTATATTTAAATTAAGGATGGAAAATTCAAATGCCTCCCTGGGCAGGCAGAAAGCACGAGGGGCACCGGGTGTGTCCTGGACGGATGACAGGTGGGAGATCAGAGATGGGGGTGTGGTCAGCTACTCTGCAATTCTAGCAAGTGACACCATGATGGCAGACCAGTATACAAGACAGTCACAAAAATCTGGAAATCTGGATTCTTACGTAAAATCTCCCCTTTACAAATATTAGCAACTAATCATAGGAAAAAAAGAACTTTAAATGCCATGCAAACCAATGGGCCTCCATTTGCAATCTCTACTTTAAAACTTGTATATAAACACAAAAGCTATCAAAAACAATGTACTTTCATACAGTTCTACAGAATCTCCTGAAATTTTTAGCAGAAGATAAGAATTTAAAATTTTATGGCATATTAGCACTACATCTTCTATATTTTATTACGGACAGCTTAATTTTCTTACATATACTCTTAAAAGTAAATACTTAAAGCTATTAAAGGATAAGGCTAAACCTTTAAAATTTGTAGCAATTTTCTGCTACCAATTTCTACTAATTTAATGAAATAAAGTCAAATAAATATTTTCAGTCTGTAACTGATCTCTTATTTTTTAAAGATAATTTTTAAATTAAAATTTTAATTTTAAATAACCAGTCCTCTCGTTTACATTAAGAAGGTCTCGTGATTTTCAGGCATGCGAGCTCGATTTCTTTTCTGGAAACCTGTGTCTTCCAAGCCAGGAAATGACAATCACATCTAATAAAAAATGAACTTTGAAAAATAGTCATCTTCCTGAGAATTGCTGGGATTCAATTTTCACCGTGGTAATTGGCAAAAACTTATCATACGCAGAAACTTAGACATATATGGATAAATCAAGGCTTGGCCGTTCCTTTTTCTTGTTGTTGTTATTGCTTCTAACCTTTTCGAAATTCTGAAAAATGCAGCGATGACAACTGCGAAGGAAAAGGAGGAGAAAATTTGGCTTTCTCTGGAGTGAGACACGTCTGCTTAAACTGTCTACAGTGAGAGGTGGGAATTCGATCTCCTACCGATGGTCAGAGTTACGTAAACATATGTCAGCGTCTGGAGGATTCTAAGCTTCACAGCTGCCGCTGGAAAAGCTCGAACGGAGAAAGAACGTGACCACATACATTCCACACGTGCTAGAGGGCCCTTCTCCTTAATGCCCCTGTCTTTCTCAATTAAAAACAAAAGATTGAAACATTTCTAAATAAGACAAGAGCAAATGAAAAATAAGACTAATTTAAGCACCGACTTCATTCGTAATTGTAATTGTAATACTTCGTACAGAGCCACACGAAATGAAATGAGACCTAACTCTGACCCTGAAAGGCAAGTGGACCCCTCTAGGTTTCTAAATTTTTTTTTTAAAAAAATATCAAATACAAAGATTATTTATCAACAGTATCCAATCTCTGCTGAGGTCGCTTAAGCCAGAGGCTAACAGCAACTGCTCTCTCTCTTTCTGCCTTCTGGGTTTGTACACATACTTTCTCCTCCTTTCTCCTTAATCATAATATAGAAATCTGTGCGTTCCCCTAGGATTTACGCTTCTGGGCTAATTGTGATTACTTGCCAACAATACATAGCCATTATTAACCCTATGATGCTGAAGACACTTGCAAACCATGAGGGGTTTTAAAAAGAAGATATCAAAATAGCTCTTCTAAATTTTAAAATTAAAGGCAAAGAAGTTTAAACTTCTAGTCTAAATCTAAAGTAAACAAAAGAATCTCAAATACTATTCTTATGCAGACCTCTTTATAATTCATACATAAATTCAGTGTATTATGTGAAATAAATTTGTTTTAAATTTGTCACTTAGCTTCAAATGATCGATCGACTTTGATTTAATTATATTAAAATTTAAAATTGCGATCTTTCCAATTAATAAGTCTTACCTGGGCGAGGAAAAATACCTTAACTAAACGTGTAGGAGTATACTCAGGAGAAAAAATATTATCTAAATTTGATGGGTCTGAGTTCTCAAGAATAAAAATAATTATAGCATTTATTTTATATATAAATGAAAGCCAAGTTTATTTCTGACTTTGTAGCTTTATCTCTTATGTATTTTGGTATTTTTAATATAAATAATTCAATTAGCTCATGGTAAACCATAATATATATGTAATGCAAATAAAAGCTTAATTAAAAAAAAAATACAACATATATTTTTCATTTCCCCCAAAATTGAAGGCCCATTATTACACATGAAATATTTATTCAGAAAACTTAACCTGAACCCTAACCTTAACCCTAACCCTAGCAAAACAAAACAAAATTATTTATTTGGGTAAATGAATACCTACATGCAATAAAGAATTTTCCTGAAATTATATCATTTGTATTTATATCAAGAGAAAACTAGTAAATTGTTCAGTTAGTGATCACACTAAAAAGAAGCCGTAAGGGCAAATATTTTCAAAAAGCACTTTCTCATCTGAGCCTCATTTTTTGCTGTCCAAGGTATATCAAGAGAGAGAAGCTTGGCTCTCCAAGTTTTTGCATGAATAAAGGATGTAAGTTTCAGCCTTACAGGACATGCACAGGGATCTGACAGGTCTTTGGACTAAAAGTGACATTTTTGGGGTAGCTGGGGAGGAGGGAACAGCTGTAAGGTCTGTGCGTTCCCAAAAACACTTCAAACGCAAAGCAGAGAGGGACATCTGGAAATACCATTGACTCAATCCTGTTACCTTTCAGAGTTCAGCGTGAAGAAACAGATTCAAGTCATTGACACACACACAAACACACACACACACACAGAGGGAGAGGAGGAGAGAGATGCCCACACCCCCATTTCTCAGAGAAAACCCAAAATGACCCTGGAGGTCAGACAGGGTGCATGAAATTAGCTAACATATTTGTTTGGATCTTGTAGACAAGTATACTGTTAAAGTCTATTATTTCACTATGTTCAGCAAAAGTATGTCTTTGTTTAAAAAATATATATATATCACTGCTCTGGAATAAGTGGTAATGCGTTGGCTTTCGGGTGTTGTGGGGACGATTGGGTTGTTTGAGTCTAATCTTTAGGGTAATTACTTCAGGCAGGCAGTGCCTGAGCATGGTAGGTAATTCAGAGACAAAACGTGTCTGTGCAGTAAGAAGCAAGTTCGCTTCCTCCCCACTCCATGACTGCCAGTTTCCTTCCCACAGGCCACTGCTGCTGCCAGGGTCTTGGCAATCCCTTCGCAGACGCTCTATGACAATGGGACCAAGTGTCGAGTCTCCCTCCTCGTCTCGTTTTCATCATCGGTGCACATTCTGTACACGGTGTGCACCTGTTTTTCTCACTTCATCTCATTTGGGGACCATGTTGCATCAGCCTGTCTAGAGCTGCCCAGCCCTTTCCAATGGGTATATTTCATTTCAATGAATGGACGGCTCAAAGTATACATCTCCCTGGCCCCTACCGATGCCCACGCGTAAAGAACTTTTCTTGTATTTGCAGCTAGAACTTCATCTGGCAGGCGAGCCGACATTATTCTGTTTAATGTTGCTTCGTTTCTGTTTAATTCTGTTCTCTGCTTTAAATCCCCAAATATCAGTTACTTAGCAAAACTTGAAAAATGTTACTCATGGCTAATGAGCAAATGCAGTGCTCGGGGAAATGGCAAGGAGCATGCTGACCGCTGATCCCTGTCGCCCCCGTGACTCCTTGAGGTCTAGCATGATCCGTATCGTTTCTGACACCCTAAACTGTGACGTGTGCTCCGGACGTCAAGAGAGGGTAGTGGCTTAATTGCTAATTCAAGAAAACTGGGTATGCGATTAGAAATTTAATTCCATTCTGCAATACTTGCAAATGTCCCAAATCAGGGACCGTGTCCATCCCCTGCGATCCCTTTGGACTTGCAAATCAACTAGCAGATGCGGCTCTGCCTTCCTGCAGGCTGCTGGTCTCCACGCAGCTCTTAGAGAAGAAGTTGCTGTCCCAGGAGGTGAGTGCTTCCCACAGTCTAAGCTTTATCAAGATGTCTCCAAGATGAAAAATACCAAAGGCTGGCTTGTCACCTAAGTTAGGGCAGCTTGATTACGACGATAACTTCAGTTCCGGTGGTTTCTTTTTATGCCACCCTGGAAAAGCATTTGTGTTCTTTTTTCTGTTTTTTTGGGGGGGGGAGGGGCAGAGTTATTATTGTTGTTTTGTTTTAAATTCAGGGGCTTAACAGTTAAAACGTGAGACATTCTTCCTCGAGCATAAACCCAATTAACTGTTGCCCACGAGTCTACTTGCCTTATAAACATACAAATCACCAAGAGAGAGACTGCAAAGTATTTCCTCAGACAGGTCCCGTTTCTCTTCTGTCGCTGGTGCATTTCTCCACCGCACTTGTTACAGGAACGACACAAACCAAAGCAAAACCCCACCAGAGGCATCAGAATAATGAAGAGCAGGCCAAGGACGGCGCAGATAATGATCCCCAGCTCATACTGGATGATCTGTAAAGCAAGCAGAAGAAAGAGCGGACGCTGTGACACACGGTGACAAGTGGGCCACCATGCGGTGCGCCCGTTCCGTTTTCTTTAACCTACTTGTCGCCGTGAGTGTGCGTGTGTGTGCCTGTAGTTTCCATTTTGAAGCTCCTTCTTGGAGCAGAGGAAGGAGAGAGGTAAGTGATCAGAATATGGGACCAAGTGGTTACTGTTCTCTCTCAGCTCCCCGGGTCGAGTTGCAAATGTTTCATGTCCACCTCCGAGGTATTCTGTTTTCAAGCAGCGTCTCAGGTATTGGCGGAAGTACTTACATGATGAAGAGCCCGTATGTAGGGTGCTTTTCACCAGAAACGTAAGCCCATAGAAGTTATTAAGGATTCAAAGCGGTTTGGACTGGATCAATTAGTGGCAAGTTCATAGACAGTTATAATAGAACCTGGACTATATCTAAATGTAGAAAAAAGGTTCAGACTTTTTCAGTCAGACAGGGCCACTCAGTTTCCCCATCCATATACTGGGAATAATAACATACATACCTTGTAAGGTCACTGTGAACAACACAGATAATGTATGATTAGCGATAACGTGCCAAGGAAAGTACCTGGCACCAAGGAGACATTTAATGAGTGACAGTTCTCACACAGTGCCAGGGAGGCTGGGCTCGGCAGCCTGATCCTCAGACACCGTCTAGGTACAATCATGTGGCCTAAACATATTTTCATAATCATGCCTGGCTTTAGTCTGGGACAAATAAAAATGGACGAAATTTGACCTCGTTCCAATTCGTGTGTGCAGTTACTCACATCTCCGCGAAGCATGACCTTTTTAAAGAACGGCCGAAAATTATAGGTTGGCGGTTCCCGACTAATGAACCAGCTAGTTTGCAATGGAGTCTGAAGCCAAGCCGAGAAAGGTGCAGCAAAACACAGGTGTTGTTCCCAGGAGCAAGCGTGTTGTTTAGGGAGAGAACGCTGAGCTTGGAGTCGGAAGGCCTGCTTTAAATCTGAGCCCTAAACTGACAAAATCTTACAGTAGCACTAACCGCGTAAGCATATTGTAAGGGACGTATCATGAAGTGATTTAATGTGGAAACAACTAGTTAAATGCCCAGTACACAGCAAAAATCCTCCAATTAATATTAGTTAACTCAGTGCTAAAGAGTAAGAATACTTAAGAGTATTAAGTCGGGGGCACATGGCACTTTGTTATCTGGCCCGCCCGATGGCCAGGAAGAGTCGTGACTTGCTGGCACTTTTCACACTCCCTAGAGGACCCACATCGTTGGCCAACTGAGAAACTAGCCCCAGACACTCTAAAATCATATATTTTGCTATCGTTTCTCAGCAACTATTCTGAAGTACTATTTTTAAAGGAATTTAAGACCCTTTTTGAATCTTAGGAAACACGAAACCCAAATCCAGAAGGTGTAGTGAAATGATTCAAACATGCTGCCCCCTTAGCTCCAAATGCGACTTTTTATATTTTATACGCAACCTTTCTAATGTTACTAAATATTACGCCAGACGGCATCGGGAACAAGGCATGTCATTTTAAGGGTTCACTTCTAGGCTCACGTCTCGCGGAGGCCTGCTGGCAAAGACCTCAATTATTTTCTGGAACACCAAGATCTCAGGAGCGCTCTGGGGATTACGCTGATGGGGAGATCGAAAGCTAAATCTGCTGAGATGGGCTGCTATTCCTCTGTGAACTACTAAAGCCGAAAGAGAAGACTAAAGACGATACCAGAAACAAAAATGCGACACATCATTTAAAGACCATTACAGTGGAGAAGACAGCGAACCATAGAAAATTTTGGCAAAAAGTGTGACACAACTCACTGGCAGGAGACAGAGCGATGTGAGACGGCAGACAAAGACCTTACCTTCAGAATCAGGACTACGCTTTCTGGCTGTGGGAGTCAGAGCAGTTGAGGAGTTTGTGCAAAGCAAAGGCAGCGTGCAGCAAGAAAACAGAAAAAAGTGACATGAGCGATGAGCGAGAACAGTAACATCCCACACAGAGAAAACCCAGTGAGAGAAGGAGTGACGTGAGACAGGAATATAGAACTTGAGTGCTTTGTAATAGAGGGGCCATGTTTGGGGTAGAAGCGAGGTCTGGAACTTAGGATTTCTTAAAAGGTTTTGAACCAGGATGCTGATCGGTTATGAAGAAGGCAAAGAGAGGGAAAGGCACACATACTTAACACACTAACTGTGTGGTCTTCGTAAAATCGAGCGTCAGCAGCTGCCCAGAACACCAGAACCAAAGGCGACAGCTTCCCAAGTGTCCTTCCTAAAATGAATGTGGTGGTACTCTGCCTTGCTTAACAGCATTCCACAGGTTCCCACCTTATTTAACTGAAACGTGGTCCCATATTATTTAATCCCGGCTTCCTGTCCCCATTCGTCCTGGCCATTTCAGTCTACGAAAAGCATCTTGTTCTCTCTCCCATTCCTCATTCTGGGTTGTGCTGCGTCCTTGCTCAAACATTCCCATCACTCTTCCTCTACTGAAACTCAAGTCTCCACTTGGACGTTGCTTCTTCCAGGAAGTCTGCCTTGATAACCCACTCTAGGTTCATGCTGCCTTGGAGTCCTACGCTTGCCCTTTCAGAGCACTCACCCCTGTGTTTATAGTCAGCCAGCATGTGGAGAGTCTGAACAGGGGTGACCCACACTCTCTGACCCCCAAGGGGATGTATTCAGGTGCTCTGTAATACTGGCTTGTTTGGCATGGCTCATTTTTGAATCTTGAACTAAGGGCTTATAAACCCTGGGCACAAGGAATGCCCTATAAACTGAATAGTTAAATAAATTGCCCATGAAATCTCCGCCTTAACACCTCTGGCAAAAAGACTATTCCTGTGAAGACTAAATGAGTTAATATTTGAAAGCCATGTACAAGGATGCCTGCGCCATAGGATGTGCAATACAAACACCAGGAAAGTAGGATTATTAGAGTTGTTTCTTGGATTTCTACAGTTTCCTCTGTCTGGTCCCCGTTTTTCCTTCTGACTCCATAATTCCAAATCTTATTTCCCTGCTGGACTTTCACTTCTGCCTGAACTTTTTTCTCCCAGAGATAATCACCTGCTCTCATATTTTATGGTTTAACAGATAAGAGGGACAGCTCTGAGGCTGTCACACTCTGCCCACAGTTCAAGATACGTGAGAATTGTTTCTTTTAAATTAGTCACTATGGGACTACAGCACAGTCTCCTAGAATGAGCCCACTTGTCGTTGGTAGTGTGTTTGTTGGTTTGGAGTTAGACTGGTCTGGGTATAAATCCCTGCTTTGCTATGTAGTCACTGGGCGACCTTGGGCAAGGTCCCTGGCCTCTCTGACTATAGGTTTTCTTGCATCTACAGGGCAAAAATACTTCTGCCTTGGAAAGTGTCACTGTGGACTTTAGAGACAATGGGAAGCTCCCAATCCAGTGGGTGGCAGATAGCAGCCAAGAAATAATGTCTCTCATTATCACACAGAGGAAGATGATGGCGTTTTAAGAACACGCTTTCAGAAGCCTTGTGCTTTGAGCCAAGTGTTTACGAATGGAAGCAAGACTGTATTTCTTATGTACTCTACTTGCCTTCAAGTCTTAGTTTCAATGCCAGCTCTACCATGGAATCTTTCTGATTTCCCCAAGTGCAAGTACACTTTCCCTCACCTGAACGTTCATAGCCTCATCTCACGACTTCTTATACGTTGTATCTCCCTCTTCGTCTTGCATTCTGGTTGTTGAGTATATCAGCCAGCGAGGGCTGCCGTAGGCTGGGGTGTCTTAAGAAACGTGAACGTATTTTCTCAGAGTTCTGGAGGCAGGAGAGTCCAATATCAAGGTGTCGGTAGGTTTGGTTTCTTCTAATGCTTCTCTCCTTGGCTGTCGCCTCCCTGTGCCTTCGCGTGGTCTTTCCTCTCTGTCTGCGTCCTAACCGCCTTTTCTTATCAGACACTAGTCATACTGGATTAGAACCTACCCCAACGATCCCATTTGAACTTGATTACCCCTAGAAAGCCTTTATCTCTAAGTACAAAACCATTCTGGGATATTGGGGATTAGGACTTCAACGTATGAATTTCGGACCTCGTTCTGTCCATAGCGTCCGTGCCTGTACCTTATCCCGCGGCACCCCCCCTCCACCAACTGTGAGATCTGGGAGTCAAGGCCACACTTTCTCATGTCTATACCGCCACCGTGCGTTGCTCCTAGAGAGCACTCTGCAAATATCGATTAAGTGAATACATTAAACAAAAGAGAGAAAGTAAAAAAAAGAAAAACATCGGCGAGAAGAGGGGGCCCAAGAATCTAAATGCGCTATTTTTAACTTTCAGCTGATGTCCAGAAAGGAGGCAGTTCCGTGAAAAGGAGTCATTTTCCTTCCAAAGTCAGGGCCCCCCCCCGCCCCCACCCCACCCAGAGCACGAAAGGCCTGCGCTTCGGAAGACTTCCGAGCTTCCTGATGAAGAAAGTTCACGAGTAGAGCCCCAACCGGAAGATGCTGGCCGGGCTGCCCAGGCTCTTCGGCCATCTTAGCGTTCACCAGATGAAACTCAAACTCTGAGCTCAGGACCTTGAGAGCTAAAACAACTGCCCCGGGCCACTCACCTACACAGATCTTACCTGTGTGACTGCACTAATTAAAAAGCCAGTGAGCACTGGCCAGCATAGAAGATGCTGTTGATGCCTGCCCAGGTCCCTCAGGCCTTAGCCATCTTGGTGTTTCTCCTCAGATGTCTAACTTCTGGTTCTCGAACTCTGTGTTCAGAGGCATTTTCTGGAACCACAGGAGGTTGGAAATGCCTAGAGATGAACACTGTCCCCAACCCCCAGGGGCCCTTGAGTAATGCAGTGAAGAAATAAAATGGAGTCAGTACAGTCAAGCTGCTAAATTACTAAAATCGAGTAGGTTAAGGCCTGGGGAAACAACTGAATTCTTGTTTTAGTGAGCTCGGAACTGAAATTTTTAAACTTGCAAATTCAGCGTCAACACCCGGATATACATCAAATCTCCAGGTAACCCTCTCATTACCCCCTGAAGGGCTAAGGAAGGACTGCGTTCACGTTTACAGGCCACCTGACGGCCAACACTCAGACCATCGATCATCTAGAGGCCCGCTGTCTCGAACCGATCCAGAAGTTAAGAACGCAGGACTTAGGAGTCTCGAGAATGCAACTTTAGTATTGAACGACTCTAAGCTTTTCTTTCTTCTTTGGAACACCGCCGAGTTTTGCCTAGCTGTGTTCCAGTCTGCAAACTCGAAGACCCACGCGTAAATCTTTGTCATTTATTTCTAGCAAAGCCTCTAGACACATTCTGAGCGCTATCAGTAGGTTAAGTTTTTGGGGAGCCTAAAGTTATACACAAATTTTCAATCGTGTGGGGGGTTGGTGCCCCAAACCCTCACAGTCCAAGGGTCAGCTGTGCTTAGATGGTTCTCCCCGCTTAGCTAAAAAAAGTAGCATAATACTTCCTTCAAGAAAATGTTCATTTTTAAATAACATACAACTTGAAAGGTGAATGTTTCTTCAAATGCTACCTTTGGAAATTTTGCGGCAGTTCACATGGGATTTATAAGGTGTTTCAATATTCCATAGAAGTTCTTCGTCAAAAAACGTTACTAAATTCACAGATTAAATAACCAACTGGTCATTTAAAGATCTACTTTCAAGTCAGCCAAAATTCTGCTCATACTTATTTTAATAATAAATACATCAATAAAAATTACCTTCTTATAATCAGCTGAGAGGTCAAACTTGTTTCGTAATACATTCTTGAGAATATCTGGGGAAAAAAGCCACAAAACAATAGCAAGATTACTTATTCCGTAAAAACATAAAATGCGTATTTAGAAAATAAAGTCTGTATATGTTCACAAATTACTGTACCTCTACATAGTATTCTTAGAATTATTCCCATTTCTTACCGTAGGCAAATAATTGAGCTAATGAGGCTTAAAAGCAACAGTCCCCAACCTTTTTGGCACCTCTGAGGTGGAGCTGAGGCGGTGATGCTAGCGCTGGGGAGTGGCTGCAAATATAGATAAAGCTTCACTCACAGGCCCACCGCTCACCTCCTGCTGTGCGGCCCCATTCCCAACAGGACCCAGACAGGTACAGGTCCGCGGCCAGGGGGCGTTGCAGATCTCTGCTCTAAAGCAAAGACTAGAAGACAAATATTTTCGATGTACTGTTTTGCCAGTGGCAGGATTAGAAGGTTACCATTTTTATAAGTTTTCAGTTTCTCACAATACACCTTAATATACACCAGCAAACCACATGTACTGTATTAATAAGCACTGATAAAAACTACACTGAAATAGATCATTTTTATTTATTTGAAACCAGAAATCTGATTTATTCTTTAATAATTTCACATTTATATAATGTTTTACAAATGAATCTTACAATTAACCTAACCTAAGAGTTCTCAATCACACGAGACCTCCCTCCCTTCCCACCTCTAAACACTGCATTGAAAACCCTGAAATGCCGTATGAAACTGAACTGTTTTCAGGCACGTTCATTCTGGGCATTTTTGAATTCTCACATTGGTTGAGAGCCACCTCTTATTCCAATCCTTTAACCTAGTAATAGTATGACACGATTGGTGCCCAGACAGTAAGAGCGACTTGTCTAAATTTATAAGGTAAAGGTTAATTTTGTTCATCGCTGTTAATCTTTTCTGCCGAAAGTGTTCTCATTTTATATTGTTTTGTTTTAAAAGCTTTTTAAAAAATCTTAGTGAAATTTTATATGCCAGTCATTTTAATTAGTCTGTTGCTTTTTTCTCTCTGATGTTTTCCAGTCTCTGTAACAGGACAGAATTATTCAAATGAAGCCTAAAATTAAGTTATGGAAGCATTGTGGCGTTAAGCATTAAAACGAGGCATTAAAATGTACAGAACAGATTTTCCTTCAGAGAGCGAAGCATTTTTTCAAGTGTCAGGCATTTCTTCTATTTGTCACTTGTACTCAGAGCTCTTACTAATAAAAACTACACACACATACACGCATGGTTAGCCTTCTCAGGCACTTAGAGTGTTGGTGTGGACATGTGATTAACCAACAGCATGAAGAGCGCTAAGTGTCACTCTGAGAAGACACCCATAGTAACCCTCTTTAACCTTCAAGGACATCTTAAACTCACAGGGTGCGGAGGGTCTCCTTACTGAGAACTGCTAATTTCTGCCTTAAATCAACACTGACCAAAGTGAAAGAGATGATTCAGATTTTTGCCAAAAGTATTAGTTTTCTCAGTAGATTAAAATGATATTCAAGTTCAATTTGGAGTCTTAGAAAAACAAGTTTTGTAAATGTATAACTTTAGTAAATGATTAATTAGATCACAATTTGAATTACATTTTTTTTTCCCCCAGGCATCAAAGACTTTCCACTGATCTTAAAAATCAATTTGACAACCCGTCCCTGTCTAGACCAAACAAATTCCTGAGGGGACGAGGGCAGGTAGGCAAATCCATATAAAACACGACCCTAGACAGTTCCAGAAGCGTGAACTCCTTGGACGTGCCGGCATTACACGGCGTGCGGAAGAGCAAGTGGCATTTTGCCCTAATGAGAGTGTTTAGGGCTGTGCTTGGTATATAATAAACTAACATGAAAACATTATCCCCTTTCAGCTCCGCCCCGGGACCGCATGCCCTTCGATGCTCTGCCCTTTCCAGTCCTTCAGCTTGTGGCACAGAATCTGAGTGCTCAGCAGAACCTATGTGTCACCTCATTTTCCTTGGCTCGCTGCTTGATTCTCCAGACACTTGCAGTTAGGTGGGACCATGTGACTCGAGTTCCGGCCAGTGGCATGTGGGCAGATGTGCGTGCACTCCATGTCCAGGCCCGGCCTGGCCTCTTTACCCATCTCCCACTCAAATATAGAGGATCCAGTGGTGAATTCTTAAGCCCCAGGGGGTGGCAGAACCATCTGACAGAGAGAATGCAGTGATGGGGTCCCCGCTCCATAACTTCTACATCGGATGAGCCATGAGAGATCAGCATTTTTCACTGAAATTGGGGCTTGCTTGTTATAGCACATGGCGTCACTTACCATAACTGAAAAAGCCTTAGCTAACTGAGACCTCCAACATTTTTCTGTTCTATGCATCTTCTACCTGTAGCCTATCCTTCCAGCTTTGACCAAACAAAGATTAATTCATTTTTCATGAGAGGGGGTATACACATACACAGCAGACTGAGACCCGGTGAAGCCAATAGTTTAAACTGAGACTTTAAAAGGTGTCTTCTTAAAAGATTGAAATTTCTGTCTTCATACAAGAGAATGCATTTGAACCCAGGAAAAAACCACTGGCAAACGCAATGCAGTATAGCTAGGATAAAACATTCTTCTTGCCCGCTCTCATTCATGGCTCTGCAAAGCTTGGGGAGTCATTCACAGGCCTGTCTTAAAGGTCCACAAGCCTTTCAAAAGCTTCAGCACCAACTGAGTTTTCCTAAACGACAAAACACATGTTCATAACCAGTTTAAACCGCAAATTCAAGCACGTCTCTACTGCCAAAATATTGAAAGAAAACCCTCTCAGGTTGCAGTGTCCTGCTGGAAAATGCGCATCAAAAAGGAATTAGGACTCGGCTGGCTTGAGAGCTTGGTACCCTCTCCAAGAGTTACGCGCATAGAATGGCTGTTAAGATGGCTTGGGAGCACCAGCCTTCAGGCCCAGGCTGCTCTTTCTGGAGGAGGATGAAGATTTAAATCAAGATGCACAGAGTGTAGGTGGACTTATAAACACTTGTGTGGTTTGTATGTGGTCGCCCGCACTTTTCCTTGAGCCACCAAGTGGCAGGGGTCTTAGATTACTACCGGAGGTAATTAGCGCAGTCAAACCCAGCCGCCCTCATCTGTCTAGACTTACTGGGTTTTGTTTTTATGCTTGAGACATTCCTGATTCAGATTTCCAAAACGAAAACTTGCCTCTTCTTCTCAACAGAAATATATCTCATTAATTCAAACAGATTCAGAAATTTCTCGTTATTTGGATCATTGGATGTGGTTTGCCTTTGATCGAGAAAAATGTTTAAGGAGCCATCTCATTGCATGAAAATGTTTAGATCTACGTTGAAATCAGCATAGTAGGTGTGATCAGTTCTGATACCCGAGAGAGTAATTAAAAAAGAAAATGCAGGGAATCGTGACTTAGACATTTTATTTTAACTTAAGGCATAGAAATATGCACTTGCCCATCATTTGATGAGCGGCTGGGGTCCTTTTTTAAGCATGAGTCCTCTGCCTGGAATGGAGGCGAGTTAAGATAGCACCTATGGTAAAATAAAGCTCCTCCCTTGTTTAAAGGTCGACTTGTGCCGACCACCCTATCTCTAAGCCACACACTTAGGATCGAAGAAAATGGCGTCATTGGCTCACTAAGTCACACCGTCTACACATAGCACAGGTATTTCAGAGAAGACACTCAGTGACCATAGACTCTGCCTCAAGATAGGAGAGAGCTTGGCTTACTTATTCTGCAGTAATTCGGAGGGGAGAGGGATAGGCTTTCCTATAACTACACACTCCTCCCCACCCCAGACCCCAAACATTGGGATGACTGTGCCAGTCAGGGTTCTCCAAAGAAACAGGAGCTATAAGAAACAGAGATGGAGATAAAGCGAGGGTTAGAGCTAGAGCTAGAGCTAAGACAGAGATACATATAGAAAGATTTCTTTCAAAGAATTGTTAGGGATGAACTCTTAAGGGCAGGCCGGCCGGCCGGCTGGGCCCCCAGGCAGGCGCCGATGCTTCAGTGTGGAGGCAGACATTCTTCTTCCTCCAGAGAGCTCAGTTTTTGCTCTTAAGACCTTCAGTCAATTGGACGATGCCCACCTACACTAATGCAACTAATCTCCTTCACTTGAAGTCACCTAATTGGAGGTGTTAACCACATTTACAAAAGACTTTCACACCACCACCCAGATTAGCGTTTCATTAAGTCACTGGGAACTGCAGCCTGGCCAAGTGGACACAGAGGATTCGCCACTGCTCTGCCCAAGCCGGCTCTGCTGCCCACGGAATGGTGACGCCCCGTAAGCATGCCGGCGCAGAGCACATCTGAGCATCCTTGTCACATACAGATAGGGCAGACTCGCCACCATTAATGGCCGCATCTGACGACGTGAGCCCCTGCCAAGCAAAGGGTCCAATAGGGGCCCAGTTAGTACAATGTCAGGGACCACAAGCAGTCCCTGAGGATAGCTAACCTTGGAGGATGGCCTTGAACCACTCCCCAAAACTGACTTATGTTTGGTCTGCGCTGGATTAAAAGGCAGGCAAATAAACGCCTTCGGAAAAGAGTTTCATTGAAAATGACAGAACTAAACTAGTTCGTGACTTGCCAGGTTAAGTGTCGCGTCTCCGGAGAACTCACTGAGGAAGCTCATCTCCCAGCTGCCCTGGCTGGTTGCCTGTGCTCTTCGCTGTCCTTTGCCACTGGGGCGAACACCCTCTGCCCACTCCATGGCTCACATCTTCCTGTGGCTGCTGGGGCTGGGGCTGAGCGCAAAGAAGTGATTTTGGGGACCCAGATGATGCCAACTGCCTTGGGCCCTGGAACTCCGCAAACCCCTCGAAGAGCGTGTTTCCTGCTGGAAGGGCTGCCCCGTGCCCATCTGAATCTAGTACTCGGGTGGCACGCGTTTTCACAATGACTTCACGCAGCCACCGCCCTGCAGTCTTCCCTCACGGAGCATTTGCTTCTACCCTCTGGGCCTCCGTCAACATGGCTAAATGCTTTGGTTTGATTTTTTTAATGAAGGAATTGA